ACCATGTCTCATTACATTTTTGACCTTTTTATTCTCACTTTATTTCTAATATGACTTTCCTCTCCGTGTTTATACATTTTTCTTTCATTTCTTGAGAACTGCAAACATATTTTTCATCTCTTTAGGGGGCTTAGAATCTCTAATTTGAATTCTTATAACCCACCCAGAGTCCTGGGATCGAGTCCCACATCGGGCTCCTGGCTCAGCGGGGAGCCTGCTTCTCCCTCTGACCCTCTCCTCTCTCATGCTGTTTCTCTCTCGCTTGCTCTCTAATAAATAAATAAATAAAATCTTTAAAAAAAAATTAAAAAAATTTAAAAAAAAATGAATTCTTATAACCCAAAGAAGAGCTCCTTTTTTTTTTTTTAATTTTTGACACGATGGAAAATGGTTTTAATACTTGTTTTTAGAGGGCAATTCCTTTTGTAATCCATATTCTTCATCTGTCTTTTGTTATGTTTTTTACGTATCTGTGCCCGAGTTCTATGTTAATTCTTGTCCTCCTATTTATTTATCTTTAAACAGAGCCATTTATTTATTGAAGAATGAATAGGGATCCACAGAGGGGGAGAATCAGGGTGTTCTGTAGCTTCAACTTGAATCAGCTTTCTTGAACATCCATTCACCAAGTCTGTTATTTTTCTTGACCTGAAGTGTGTGGCCGCTTGGTCTGTGTGTGGCATGTTACTGTGACTCACAGAAAAGGCCCGTTCCATGATAGGCTCCTGGAGTTCTAACCTAGCAAACCCCCTCCCCCGCCAACACATGCACGCACGCACACACACACGCGTGCACCAGTTGGCCTACAGGAAATGAGGAGATCATCGCCCTCAGCTCCATCCCCCTGTCCTTTCATCATCTGGATCCTGAATGAGGGCTTTACAGGGGCATCTCCATGTTTTCCATGGCTGGCCCACACCCTTAAGTCTCATTTCTTGAATTAAAGACTATTGGATGTATACCTTTCTGAACTGAGAGACTCACTCTTTGTGAAATCTGTTTCTTACTCTAGGTCTGAGGAGGTCAGTGTCTGCTCTCAAATTACCCCTTGTTTTCATCTATATTTCACAGAGTCTGGCAGGTTAACTAGACTCCTGGTTGCACTATTCCAAGTGACAAAAACCTAATCTGAAATACTACATGCTGTCCCTGTCAAAATAAAGAAAGGAAAGAAAAGAGAGGAAAGAAGAGGGAGAAAGAAAGAAAGAAAGAGAGAGAGAGAGAAAGAAAGAAAGAAAGAAAGAAAGAAAGAAAGAAAGAAAAGAAAAGAAAAGAAAAGAAAGAAAGAAAGAAAGAAAGAAAGAAAGAAAGAAAGAAAGAAAGGAAGGAAGGAAGGAACATACTGGGTTCACAAAACAGAGAAGTCTAACAATGTGGATATGGATCATCCTTGAACTTGGTCACTATCTCCATTTCCTTAGCTCTGTTTATACATCACTTCCCAACCCCACCCTTCCCCAGAGTCACCCTCCACAAGGCAACGAAATGGCCACTGTTGGCTCTAAGACCACATCATCTTTACAGCTTATGAACTTGAAAGAACACTTTCCTCAAAGGCTTTGGCAAAAGGCCCAGAGAGGAATGCAGCTGGCCTGTTTTGGATCCTGTGCCCACCTCTGAACCAACTGCTGTGGCTGGTGGATTGGAGAACTCGGAAGGCCAGTCTGGGGCCACATAATCACCCCTGGACCCCCAGGAAGGTGGGCAGGGAAGATAGAGTCAGCCCTTCTCTAAACATGGACTGAGCATGATGCAAGATGGCTTGGTCTCCAAAGGCAAGTATGCTAGGTAGACAAAAAAATCAAGCCCACACTGCAGTGTAAAGTTTACTCCATGTTTTGTTGTTTCAGGCTAGAACCAGTTTTCTGCTTCATTGATGGTATTTATTTCTGTGTTTTTCATTCTTTGCTGCTTTTGTTCAGTTTCTACAGAATGCCTTTGCTTTACCATCTTTAACCAGAAGCCCTCTTTTCTTTTTTTTGATTCCAAAAATACTATTGGCCCTTGACAGTTTACAGATAAGGCTTTCAAGCCTTATTAATCATTCCACAACCCACAGTGAAGGCTGGGGGGAGAGGGGAGTGAAGGAGCACAGTTATTTCCATTTTACAGATTAGAAAACTGAGCGCCTGAAAGTGGTAAGAGACTTGCCAAAGAGCATACAGATAAGTCAAATGGCTGAGAGAGAACCAAACCTAAATCCAAGGATCATGGTTCCCAGCAAAGAGTTCTTGGGCTTTCCTCCTGAAGGTCACATTTCCAAACCATAATAGTTCGAACCATATTTACATAGAAAGCCTAAAAGGTTTTTAAGCAGGTATACGAAGGGGTTCATCAGGTTGGACCACTGGATGGATGAGTGCATAGATGGATGGAGATATACATACATTCCTATTTTAATGGAAGCTTTATTATTTTTCAATCCACATGGCAACACAAAGTAAGAGAAAATGGAGTGTCGCTAAGGGGCAGGCCTGCCAAAGCTTAGATGGGCCCTTAACTGGATACACAGAGACTGCTGGAGTTGCAACGCTGTTTGAAGAGGACAGTTGGATGAGTCCTTCAGAGTATGTTCTCTCTGGGAAAGTTAGATCTCGTTTATGATGACAGCTTGCTTAGCAAATCCTTTTTCCACCACGACCAGCATAAAGTGAAACCACACTCCATCCCAGGTCTGACTTATCCATACTCTAAATTAAGGGGGTACAAATCAAAGCTATTTCCCTGGAATAGACTGCTCCTTTTCCCCAGCCCAGAAGCAGGCAGCGTGAAGGTGGCCACTCCCCTCCCATCAAGCAAGCAGTAAGGACCCTGCGCGGGAGGCAGGTCCTCACTTCCTCTGTTCCCTTTCTGAGACCTGCTTGTGCTCCTTCTAGAGCCAGTGTCCTCTCAAGCCTCTTTCTTTTCTAGTTTTTGCATTCCTTTCCTTCCCTTCTGCCAGCCAGTCTCACTGACAAGAGTCTTCATTTACCACATTAGGGTTTAAAGATGGAAAAATGTTAATTAAGTAAGGCTTTAGCATCAAAACTGGGAATACTCCACTGCATAGCAAAGATCATTTCTTGGAATTCTTCACTTAAATGTTTACGAGAAACAATTATCAAGTGTCTCAGATTGAGTCACAAATATAATTAATGAAAGAATTGCTAATAGTTTCCATTTTCTGGTTTGTTTTAATCCTACCGTATCAACTGTTTTTTTGGCGCCACATCAACAAAACCCCATCCATGATTCAAGGAGGTAAAGATTCCTAAAGCAGAAACGTTATTGGAAGTTAAACTCACCAGGGTGCATTACAAGCCCGACTCAGAGGCAGTCATTACACGACACAAAAGCTGTCCTCACCAAACAAAAGGAAAACAGTTAGTGCTGCCGACGCCTCATAATTTTGGCCGGTCAGGAAGAGGTGCTTCCAGTTCCTAATTGATTTCTCCTTTGCTGTTGGTGGGATAAAATATGCAACTGAAAATGCCTTTGCTGTCCCCAACTGAGGAAGACATAATGAACTCTGGCTTGCCAGATTATTCTGCAACATCTGAAGGTTTGCAAATAATAATAATAATAATAAAATAAAATAAAACAACAGCTCTTGTCTGGTTTTTCCTAGTCAACTTTAATTACTGTAAGGATGGGTGCAGCAAGATAAATGTTTCCTTTTCACTCCAGTGCTGAAGAAACACAAGCTCTCCTGCCGTCTTTTATGTTTAAGCTCGGAGGTCTGCAGCCTATTCTTACTCACCAACTGGAAAAGATCGGTTGCAGTAGCCAGTTTGATGTTTTGTGCTCAGCTCCCAAAGTCCCAATTTGAAGTCATTCTCTTCCACTTAAGGAGACATTTCATTTTTCCCTTAATTTAAAAAATGTTCTGAATGCAAAGCAGCATTACCAGGGCTACTAGGTTGCCTAATATAAATTCTGCATGCACGACACTCTTCGGGCTCTGTCAGCCGACAAGGTCAGTTCAGCTAAACTAACCAGCTGCCAAGCAGCCAGTTCCAGGAAAAGTTTTAAGCACGCTGCGTGTGTACGAGCCAAAGTTAGACCCAAAATCTAAAGTGAGGGCAACAAGTCCTCTGTCTTAAAGCGGCCGGTGGAATTTAATCTTGTTAAGCAAATTTGAACCGGGCAGTTGTCCACAATGACCCAATGGAAAGTCATAGAAAAATATCTTTAACTGAATGACCCAGTCCAGTCCAAGACCTCCTGCCTATCTTAGCATCATTATTGGCCGGGGCTGGGGAACAGAGGCTGCTCTCCCCACTCCATCCCCCACCCCAGTCCCCAGTCCCCAGTCATTAGAGACTTCTTTAGGAAAACATGGGGGTGAGAATTCACATGGTCCGTACAGTGAACATTTCTCCACAAATCTTAATATGGTAAGAAAATTGCTCCTCAGTTTTCTAGGGGAAGCCCTAGAAAGCCCCATCTAGGAACATGGTATGAAATAAAGTAATTCCCAATAATTCATTTTATGAGGGATTAGGTGAGGGATGTCACAGACAATAGAAATCTACAGGATTCTCCTGTTTTAACTACTTACCTGTTTGCAAAATAAATATTTAAATCCAAGTTTCTACTGGGGAATAAAATAAGTGTCTACTCTTTGGTGGAATTAACAACAGTGAACTAATCCAAAGGGATGGAACAAGAGATTCCAGGCCAGGCAAGAATCCCAAATAACACACAAACAGAACAATCACTCATCACTCGAGGGCTGGCTGGAACAGCCTAACTAAAGCAAAGACTATTCTGACAGACAGATCAACGCAGCATTTGGCCCGTACGAATAAATGTTTTCCTGAGGATTAAATAGGGAATGATGTAAAACCAACTCCACTTAGCCATGAGGAAAAAAGTCTTTCCTATTGATGCATCATTAACTTAAAAATTTGTTTACATAAAAGGGAAAATGCAAATCACTCATCTATATAAGATTAGGAAATAAACTAGTATATGACACAGTTATCCTAACCAGAAAACTATATCAAAAGAATACTGACCCTCCACTTCTGAGATGAGATGGCAAGGATGTTGTCCCTTTGAACATTTCTTGCTTCTTGATTTCACTGAAGCCTCCATCATAAGTTAGCTGAAGTGGGTGACTCTTTAAGTGGCCAATGGCATTTGATTCTGTTAAATAAATCCCATTGATTTTCACCATAGCATCCCCCATCACAACTGTTTCCTTGGATTCCACTGTCTTCTTTGCTGTAACAATCAAGGAGATGTTTTGTCAAAGCTGTTCTGATTTTAGGAATCACTATTTCAGTATTTTTTTTCAATCTAAGAATTTATACAATTTAAAATTTTTTATATGACTTATAATCAAGTCTGGAATTGTGTGACCAAAATCTACAAGACCTCACCATTATTTCAGGCTTGGCAGCATCAATTCATCAAAAATGAATGGGATCTCCTCTCTACTCTCTCAGAGTCTACCAGAGGACATGCACTCAAATGTAGGTTTATGAATAACTCAATCCACATAAATACTTCTGCATCCCAGAACAATGACTGCTTTTCCTAAATTTGATTATGTTAACAATTTTTCATTCAAAAAATACTGAGTGCTGGGGTGCCTGGGTGGCTCAGTCAGTTAAATGTCTGACTCTTGATTTTGGTTCAAGTCATGATCTCAGGGTCATGGGATCAAGCCCCGCATCGGGCTCCGTGCTGGGCATGGAGCCTGCTTGGGATTCTCTCTCTCTCTCTC